TTACCGGTACGGGATCGCAATACTCGGTGTCGCGCCCGCGCCACGCTCAGCCAGTGAGCGGGAACCGGTCTCCACATGGGATCCGAACCCTCGGCGGGAGCACTGCCGCGCTCCCAAGCGGCGCACTGTCCAGTGCGCCACCAGGCTGGCCCCTCGTCTCATTTTTTGATGCTTTTTTTTTTTTTTTTGGTGGCAGGCCATTTTGGGGATCTGAACCCTGGACCTTGATGTTATAACATGGCACTCTAACCAATTGAGCTAATCGGCCAGCCCCTTTTGATGCATTTTTGCAGCTTATGAATGCGAGGTCTGGGCCAAATGACACTCTCTTCTCTCTTCCCTCTCCCCCACAGTAACAGACTCTACTACCCATATGCACACCCATACTCCTACATGCAAAACCCACATCTGCACACACCACATATGATTTACCCATGTTCTCATATTCACACAGGAACACTCCATGCACATATCCACATGTATCCACTTGGCAAACACCACACAACAGCCCCTGCACAGACACATAAAGCCTCCTCCACACGCACGTATGCATTGCCCACATGTGCATTCACAGCAGATCCTTGACATCTGTAAGAGAAGTGGGAAGCATCTGGACAACTTTGGGAATCCTCAGACCCATGACTCTTGTGGAGCCGGTGCCAGGCCCTGGCTCTGCCCCCCATCTCTGGCAAGTGCCAGGGGCTCCCCAGCATTTCCCTACCTACATGTCCCACCTTTTCTACTTCACCACAGTCATCTCTCTCACCCACTAGCCACTTCCCACAAAGGAAACGATTCCTTTTACAGTGTTACTGCGTGTGGGGTAATGTGGACAAAGCCACCAGACCATCCTCCCCATGCGTACAGGGACTGTTCAGCTTGTTCACATGGCACCCCCAGCCTCTGGACCACAGTAGGCCCTCTCTAAATGTTGGTTGAAAAAAAGGCACAAAAGTGGCACTGAGGTGCATACACTGGGCAGCCACAGGGGCACCCGTGTCACACACGGTTACATCCATGCACACACAACACGCTAGGCATGTGCCCATGCTCAAACATGCATCATCCTGTGCCTGCACATGTGTGAACATGTGCTGTGTGCACACACCTGCCTGCCATTCTCCATACCTTCCAGATAGAGTCACTTCCAGAACCTGGGTCCTCTTCCAAGGCCTTGGGCACCTATGACCATTGTGGGCTCATCTGCTGGCGTGTGAGGTCCAGATGTGGCCCAATGACCATGAGCTCAGGGCTCCTGGCTTGGCCATGAACATCTGGGCAGCAGGGTTAAGAGCATCTGTTCTGGAATTCCATCCTTCCAAGAAAACCTGGGTTCTTTCCTCACTTTGCACATAATCACTGCATGTTCCACATATGATTTATGTACAAGTTACTTAACTTCTTGGAGCATCAATTTCCTTATCTGCCAAATGGGGAAAATAGTTCCTACCTTAAATGCATCTTACAGGAGATGCTTTTAGCAGGGTGCCTGGTATGTTGTAAGCACTTAAAAATGGTTCTGTTGTGGATCTTATTACTACTGTTTCTTCAGTCTTTGCCCCAAACTCTCATGCACCCCTTGGGAAGAAAGGCAGTCTCAGTTGGGGGATGTGTATGTGGACAGTGGGTGGATGGTGCCTATGTAAACACCTCTACCCAGATGCTCCCCCAATCCCAAGCTCTCATTATCCTACATGCATATTTATAAGGACGACCTCAGCTCTTCTCCATAAATGGTTCAGAAACAGGAAGTGGAGGTCAATGTAGAGAGCGAGGCCGAGGGGACAGGAGGCACAAAGCCAGAGCACATCTGAGTCCTCATGGATGGGAGGATGGTGAGACGGGATGGGGCGAGAATGGATTGGGAGATATTGTGGAGTACAGGGGGTTTGGGCAGGGCTTTGTTCCTATACTGCAGATTTGAAAATTGAGATCAGATTAGAGAACCCTTGCGGTGAGTTTCCTAAGAAGCCAGAGTCTGCTTCTTTTGGGAACTGGAGACTTGAGCATCTGTCTGAGCTAGGTGATGGGCTCAAGGGGATGGACCAAATGACCTCTGCATGTTTCTCAGTGGACATAGTTTAAATGGCTTTGGGTGGAAGAGCTGAATCCTGAATCCCAGCCCTCCAGTGAGGCTCAGAGAGGTTGGGTGACTTGCCAAGGTCACACAGCTGCTGACTATGATCTTGCTTTTGCGGTGTGAGAAACAGATTTGTTCTGCCCCATGCAGGAGGTTAAAGACTGGGAGAAAGGTTGACAGGCTGGGCAGGATACCAAGAAATGAAGCTGCTTTATCGAGTTCCTCATTTCATCTCCTCCATAGTCCGCTGAGATAGCCGAAGCAAAAACGATTATCTCCATTTTACAGGTGAGAAGCACGAGGCTGAGAAAGGATGAGTCGCCAGGACAGAGCTACACAGTGAGTCATCTGAAGAGTGCATGAGCCCCTCTGTGTAGGGTGATGAGGGGGATATAAGAGCCCAGCTGCTCTTGGTCTTAGGCAGGAGTGAGGCCAGGACAATGGAAGTGTATTGCCCTGCTCTGGAAAATTCCAACCTAAAACAGAGGGGCTGCCTCTGCACTTTGAGTCATTTTAATCCCTCACTCCTTTTGAATAACTGCCCATTTCTTAGAAGACTTTCTCGGATGCTCCCAATGGCTCTGTTAAACAGAATAATCAACCCTATTTCAGGGGAGGGGATGGACGTTCAGGGAGTGAAGTGCCTCTCTACCCCACCCCTGGGACAGCATGGGACATGGGAGGCTGTAACAAAACAGGAATCCTGGGCATTGCTCCTTTTGGCCTTGGGGCTTTCTACTATTCCAGGTCAGGGAAAGGGAGAGATTGCGGGATGGAATATTTGGTCCTTGGGGCAGAAGTGTCAAAGGGAGCTGACCCTGGGATGGCAGACTGGGAGTAGGGCTCACTTCACACTGCTGGGTGTCACTTCATGCACAGAGGATTGCCGGGTAGAAGGGGACTGTGTAGTGGCTGGTTTTGGATCAGACTGAGTCACAGCAGAATGAGGAAATTGGGCTTGTGGTGAAAGTTCAGACATTCATTCAGCAAGCATTTTACTGTCCTACTGTGTGTCAAGCCCTGTGCCCCCTGGGGAGGGGTCAGTCAGAAATGAATCAGACAGTCCTTGGGTGGCTCAAAGTCTCCTAAGTGACTTGGACTAGGGAAGGATTGAAATATAACTGCACAGAAAAAGAGGCAGACTGGATATTGTCACATTCACTTTCTAAGAGAGACAGTAAGATATCAACAACAGCCTTTGGGGTCTGAGGTCAAGGCCAGACTAGGTGGCCTTACAGCTCTGTCCCTTCTGAGCTTGTTCTGAGCTTCCAGCTCTGCCCCTTCCAGAGTATATTGTGGCCTTGAGCAACAATAACAACAAACACCATAATCACAGCAAGGGTTTATTCAGTGCTCTGTTTATATATAGCACATCAGTTTACTACTTTGTGCCTCAGTTTCCTCATCTGTAAATTGGGGTGGGGTGTGGGCTTAATCTACTTCATAGAGGTGTTGTGGGGCTCGAATGGTACCACATGGGTGAAAGAGTCTGGCACATGTTTATGCTTCGTGGTAACCAGTTATTTGTGCGGCCATAAGGAGGCTCACGTTGTTCTGGTAACAGAAGGGATGTGGGACAATATTTGTTTCTAATAGTGCCAAGCAGTGGGTTGGGGGTGGTGGAGGCGGTTCTCTTCACTGAGAAGATATGGGATATTAGCAAAGCTTCAGAGGGAAGAAAGGTGGATGAGGACAAGGATCTTGAAGAGGAGGCCATCACGTGGGCCAAAGTGTAGGAGGGAAAGTGTAGGGTGTGTTTGTGGAACAATCCTGGCGCAGTTAATGGCTAAGCCTGGCGCCCTGTGAATCACCCAAGGATGCAGTCAGGCCGGATCTTTGGTCCTGAGGCCAGCTGCAAGGCATGCCAGCTTCCGTCCCTAACATTAACCTGTCTAGAGTTGGTCAAGGAAAGAGTGCTGGAGGGTAAACCCAGAAAAATGACAGAGCCCTGCTTCCAGGTCAGTCACACCTACCTCTCAGAGGGCACTCTGCCAGGAATGTGACCCACCCACCCATCTGATCTCCTTAGATAAGGGCCAGGGTTTGGGCTTCCCTAGGGAGCCATGAGCCCACCGAACAGGGATGGCTGTGGAGAGTGTGTGGCCCAAGACAGACAGGAGACAGTAGGGTTTAAAGAACAGGTGGATGGAGGGGAGGACTGGTTGAGGGTGTGAGGCTAAGGTCTTAGAAGAAACAGGGACGACACGGGGCTCACGTTGGTCAAGCTTCTAATATGTGTTGTAACAGCCGTATGAGGTAGGCACCCTCACTTTACAGACGGAGAAACTGAGGCTCAGAGAGGTGAAGTGACTTGCTCCAGTTTCTTTATCCATTCATTCATCGTCATTCAACACATACGTGTGGAACAGAGGCTCTGCACCAAGGGCCGAGGAGTCAACAGGACCACCTCTTGGCATCTGCCTGCGGAGGTGACAGTGTCCTGAGGTCACACCGTGGCCTCGCCTGGACTCAAGCCCGGGTCTCACTATTTCCAAACCCTCGCTTTGGACCAGGATACGAGCCCGGGCTAGAGTCGAGTCCGGTTTTGCAGCTCGCGTGGCCGCGGGAATCGCCGGCCATCCGCTTCCCCTGTGGTCCCGCCCCGCGCACCTGCCCCAGGTGAGTCCGGGGAGGCCCCGAGCGCCGCCGGAAAGCGTCGAGCGGCTTCGGCAGGTGGGGCGG